CCTCCTCACTTGTGTAGACCCCCCCAAAAAAATTACATATCTCCAAGTGCTGACAATTTCCAAATAGTTTATTGATTTATTCAGAGACCGAGAGTTTAGTTAGTGCAAGGCAAACTGTCAGGATGCTTGGCTTCTGTTCGCTATACTCATCCACTGTGGCTGCTTTACGCAGCAGAGACGGCCAGCTGATCTTTACTGCGTGCTTGACTCTTACTCATCCCCCCTCTTTCTTCCTTCCTTTCCTCCCTCTCTCTCTCTCTACAATTGGCCATCTGCTTGTGTGACTGCCTCACAGACACTGTGGAGCTCATCAACTGAGAGAACAGACTTGCACTTTGCTGAGGGCCGCTGCAGCTTTGCTCTGCTGAGATTCACCTCTGTGCACCATGTGTCCATGGAACTTCGATGGACTCGCTGCTCGGGATGGAGATGAAGATCGCCCGAATAAAGGCTTGGATTTGGGTCTGTTCCTCGCAGTCGTGTGGATTCGGAAGATTTGGATTTCAGCGCACATTCTGTTTTTATTCACAATTTGTACAGTGACCCAACTTTTTTGGAATCGGGTTTGTAGTTCTATTGTCAGTCACAGCATGTCGGAGTAAACATTACATGACAAGTAAAGGTTAAACGATTGCAGAAATTATTTATTTTAAGGTTTAAAGTAAAGTCTTAACATTATGTAGGCCTATTCTTGAAATGAGTTGGCAGCAGAAATCGCACAACAAAATGAAATGTTATCATTTCATATTAAGTAAACGCGTAAACAATTTAATAATGCAATTGAAAACAAGGTAACTGATATGACAACTAAAGTTAATAAAATTTATAACGTGATTTCAATATTCATAAGGATTAATTTTTAGGTGTCGTCAATACGTCAGTTTTGTACGTTTAGATGCTGAAAATACGTCAGTATTGTACGTTTTAGTGCCTGTAAAAACGAAAGTAAATGTACGTTTTATAAAACCTAATTTTACATCAAATACATACGAATTATCATGAGATCACGTTTGACTTAACTGTTAAATTCTTAAAATCTCATCTTGGTATTTACATCATAATATTATTATTAATATTATTTATCAGTTCCAAATGTTCACAACAACATTAAATCGATCTCTATATGTATTATTATTAGATGATAGTATTAGATGACTGCATACAGTACACATAGAAAATTGGTGCCCTGGTACATTACCAAGATGGCCACAGGGTAAATGTCGGATAGTTCACTATGGCAGGCATAGTTTGTGGCACAATCAAATGCCTACAAGCCCCTTCAACCAAACAGAAGTCCTATACAACATAACCCTCACTACACTACACTGAATAATAAATAAAACATTTCCTCAAGGAAAGCATGGTCTCGCTTTCCACACTTCCTCCAATTACTCCACCTCAGTAGGTTCGGCCATGAGCTTTTCTGCTCCACAGGTGCTGTCATTCTCCAGGCCAACAGAAAGGAGGAAGCCTTCGTCTTTCCAAGCTTTGTCTCTGTCTAATTGGCTGGCAGTGTGGCCCTGTGGGCTCAGAGGAAAACAGTGCCCTTAAAGCGTAGTACACAGAGTAGAATTAATGCTCTTAATCCAGGAAAATGGCCTCCACAACGACCAAATATGCTGCGGTTAATTAAAGAGAAAGGCTGAAGTGTGCGCCTGGTGGCTCTGAGATAAGTGAGAGCAGCGAAGGACAAAACTCAGCTGAGATGGACTTTTTAAGATTGTGGATGGAGATTGAGGTAATGCTATTGTGAACATGAGAATTCCAATTAAGATGCGAGAAGTTTCCTCTAATGTGAGATCAATTTAGATGCGATCCACTGCATAGATGTTGTTTAAAATCTTATGTAAGCATGGGGGTCACTTAAAAAGAATTAGAATGCCCTTGTGTTGTTCTAAACCAATATGAATTTCTTTCTTCCATGGAACATAAAAACAGAAGTTTCAGTTCATGTGATAGTCACTCTTTTCCAAGCAATTAAACTAAAAAACGTCCAAGCTTCAAAAGGGCACAAAAGCACCATAAAAATATTATAAAAATATCAGATATCATTCTTCTGATGTCACATGATGGCTAGGTGTGAGGAACAGACTTAATTTAAAGGGATAGTTCACCCAAAATTTACTCACCCCATGATTTATTCACCCTCAAGCCATCCTAGGAGTATATGACTTATGACGTATATGAATACAATCTGAGTTATATTATATAATACGCTCTTCCAAGCATTATAAAGGCAGTGAATGAGGGCCGAGATTTTGAAGCCCAAATAAAGTGCATGCATCCATCATAAAAGTACTCCACACGGCTCTGTGGGATTAATAAAGGCCTTCTGAAGCGAAGTGATGAGCTTGTGTAAGAAAAATATCCATATTTAAAACTTTATAAACCGTAATCTCTAGCTTCCGCTAACTGCCGTACACACACTCACGGCGTAGCGTAATTGCTTTGCTTCAGAAGGCCTTTATTAACCCCCCGGAGCCGTGTGTAGTATTTTTACGATGGATGGATGCACTATTTTGGACTTCAAAATCTCGACCCCCATTCACTGCCATTATAAAGCTTGGAAGAGCCAGGACATTTTTTTAAATATAACTCCATAACTTGTATTCATCTAAAAGAAGAAAGTCATATACACCTAGGATGGCTTGAGGGTGAATAAATCATGGGGTAATTTTCATTTTTGGGTGAACTGTTAACAGAATCGCTGAATAGATGAGAACCAGATCAGCCTGATTCATGAACGAATCATTCACAGTTCTGTAAACTGAATCTGATTCCTTGCAAAACATCCAACTTGATTGTTCATAAACTGGACATTTCTCATGAATATTCAACTTGTGTTCCACAGAAAAAGAAAGTCGTAAGTGTTTGGAACGGCATGAAGATGATTCAATTATGGCCATTTTCATTTATGGGTGAACTATTAGTTTAAAAACCAAACCTCATTTATAAGTTTCACTTGCACAGGTTGAAGATATACGTTCTAGAGGCCAAAAACACACTTTGGCTATTGTTGTTTTCTAATACAATTAAAGCAAGCACATAATCATATTTTAGGCCTATTTTCCAGATTGTAATAGCACTTTTCTTCCGTTTTATAGAACTGTCAGATATTGACTAAATTATGCATGACGGCACAATTAAAGCAGATGTGAGTCTCAGTGAAACAGAGAAAACAAGTTCTCTGTATCTACGTACTTGCATATACAAACCAGTGGAATGTATCCAGTCATAACTCTGTAAGGCAGACATAAGATGAATCTTGGCATATCCAATTTCTACCAGGTGATTGTGTGGCCTATATAACATACACTAGGGGGGAAATTATTTGGATAGCATCTACAGTATTAAAATTTATAATAATACAAACATGAAAAAAAATAATAATAATTCAACTTTTGATTGTGATAGTCTTGGTTCTGGTTTGATGGTTCTGCTTATTTCTGTGAAAAACAATTGAAAAAAATATTTTAGGGAAGCATAACACTTCATTATACTGCAATTTTTAAGGCTCTACCATGCAATACTTCTAAACGACAAAAACAACAGTATCCACTATATAAGAAAAATGCATACTATCAACAGAATGAATGAAAGAGACTTGCCCTGTATGACGTATGACATACGCAAGGAGGAATGGCAGAGGATCCCTAAATCCAGGTGTGAAAAACTTGTTGCCTCTTTCCCAAAAAGACTCATGGCTGTATTCGATCAAAAGGGTGCTTCTACTAAATACTGAGCAAAGGGTCTGAATACTTAGGACCATGTGATATTTCAGTTTTTCTTTTTTAATAAATCTGCAAAAATGTCAACAATTCTGTGTTTTTCTGTCAATATGGTGTGCTGTGTGTACATTAATGAGGAAAAAAAATTAACTTAAATGATTTTAGCAAATGGCTGCAATATAACAAAGAGTGAAAACTTTAAGGGGGTCTGAATACTTTCCGTACCCACTGTATATATATATATACTGTGGGCCAGTACATTGCCATGTGCTTCCTGGTGGACTCCCAGCAGCATGAGCTCTTTAAACAATTTTCCACTGGCTGATTTTCACCTATTTAAATATTCCCTCTGGGCAGTAATACCCATGATAAGAATATTACAACCTGCTGTACATTTGGGTTTACTGGCAGGGAGCATTATTAGACCGTAATTTAGCCACTGCTGACATGCTATTATTTACGCATATCTTATGATGCATAATTGACCCCTTGTGTTTCAACATGAACTGACTTTTTTATTTAAAATACATTTTATTGCAGGAATAAAAAAAAAAAAACACTGGATGTCTATAGCCTACAATACTGAACAACCATTTTTGAGTAGAACAAAACAGTAGCTCTCTGAACTTTTGAACATTATGAAAATGGGTTTGGTGTCAGGCAGTAGTGAAGCCAGAATAAAAAGTCATAATGTAACTTAACATCTCACAATGTGACTTTATATCTCACAGCATGACATTCTAATTCTACACAATATCTCACAATAATTTTTTTTATTCTTTACTTGGAAACATGCTTTCATACCGCAGAGACATACGTCACATTCGGTGTGTGTGTGGTTTTGTGAACAATAAGAAAAATTAACCTTTTTTAAAAAGTAATGCATTTCTAATATGATATAATATATATAAATGAATATTCAAGGCATTATACAAAAGAAAAATGCCTTTGTCTTTGAGATTACAACCCAAGCGAAATAATGAGCACTCTGACAGGAGATGCATATATAATCGCTTTTGAAAAAGAAGTCTATGACAAGCTCTGAAATCACAGACTTTTAAATTACTACCCATGAAGGCCACCCGCTGACTGTGCGGAAGTGAGCGGCTTCAATTATAAATGCATAAATGCCGAGAGGAATGTACGTGCACAACCATGAACATAAGGCATTTTTCATCATCAACAAGCTTAGCTCTTGTTAAAAGCAGAAATGATTTTCTCATTTTTGGGCCTCTGATCACTGACTGCTTTATCCTCTAGGTTTTTACCCACCTTGACTGAGATCTTCCCCTTATCCTTTGGTAAGTGTGCAGCCAGGAACCAGTCTCCTGGGAGGGGGCTGGTGACATTGAAAACCCCTGTGGTGCGGTTGGGCAGCGTCCATGTCAAAGTGACAGCGAAGGAGCCTGGTACAATAGTGTCCTTTGGAAAACGTGTCTGGAGGGGGTTGATTACAGGTGGAGCTCCTGACCTGAAGTACCTGCAAACCAAGGCCACAGTTACATTTCAAGGCATGCCGCGGACTGTTATCTTGGTTGAGATCAAATGCATCAATCATTGTTTAGGATCATTTACGTTCCAGTGTGATGCAAATATGGCTTTGAATTTCTTATTAAAGCTGGCACAAATACTACATAAATTACTGTTTTTAAATACACTGACATTAGTCTGTCACACAGGTAATCCCGCCCCCAATCCAGGCCATTGGTTGAGATGAAGTTAAGCTTATTTGGGATGCTCAAAATTGCAGTTCCATTTGGCGCCACTAGAGGTGCAGAAATACACAATTTACATGAATGTTTTCATAAAGAGAAGCATCAAATGACCCCACAAGTATAGTAAAACCTGAAAACATCTACAGTGTGGAGACAATCCAATGGCCCACACAAAGTCATGATTTAATAAACATACTAAGTAATGTCTTAATTAAAATCAAAAATTTCAGAAGAGGATGTTCAGAAGAATAGAACATGTTGTAAAGTTTCTATGCATTTTTAGCAACATCTGAAACAATTATACCTTTATAGACATCCGGGGATGTCCTCAATTAGAAATAGGCTTCGTATGTACTTTAACGAACTAACTAAATAAATATATTTTTTTTTAACTCACAAATGTTTTTATTCACTTATATTTATTAATTTATAACAAAACATCAAATCCAAAATACAGGAAAACTTACATGTGATTTCACACATGTACATTCCGAGTGAGTAGATGTATAAATATAATGAGTTCTATAATAAGACAAACAAATGAGTCCATGTAGTGAGAAACACAGGGCCAGAGAAAGCACATCGAAGTAAGTCCTGAATCAATTAGAATGCAGAAGATGCAACAATTTTTCACTCGATCACAAGAAAGGAAATGGAGCATTGTGACTAATACTAAATTATGCGTGAAGTGAATCGTAAACAAATATTCAAACATTTAACTTCATCGTTAATGTTTTGAGCAATGCTTACAACTGTAGAAAGCATTTATTTGGAACAACGCCCCGACTAGGCTGCAATTTCAAGTAAAGGAGAGAAGAATGAAAGAGACGAAAATCATTCACTCACATCAGACTCATTGTCAACACAAAACCGCAACGTGCTTTCCTTAATTTTGACATGGGAGCACAAGGCCATGAAAGTAAAAAGTCTTCCCTCAGTCTCTAGCCTGTCAGACAAGATACAGACACAGTCAGACAGCAGGAGCCTGCAACAAATCATGCCATGACACTTTTTCTAAAAGACTTCACTGTCTGCAATTATTTTTGCTCAATGCACTGCTTTGTGGCTCCAGTAGTTTGTCAGTCACAACCCTGACAATCCTTGGGTTGAAAAAAGTCCCCGTCTGAAAGGTTTCACAATAAAGACTCTCAATTACTCTTTCATTCTCCGTTTCTCACATTTTCAGAGGTAGAAATGGCTTTGTGAGACAAGTAAAAATGGCAAAAGACAGAACAACCACATGTGTAATATGTGTAATAAAGTCACACAATGACACAATGGTCACACAATGGTACCCATGATGAAAACTGATATTGTATACATCACTTTGTGACACATTTTAAGTGTTCACAAATGGATTTACCCCATCACTGTGCACAGCTAAACACCCACTAAAAGTAGTCAATAACACCTGGAGAAAACTATCCTTTCCCCATTGGCAGTTGCTCAGGTGGTGCAGCACCCTCAAGAAATCTGGGTCAATGATGTGATCCTCAATGACTTGAATACAGCTCATCTAGGATGTTTTTTTAAATTCCCTAATTGAAAAACATATATATAAATATCGTCTCTAGGTTACGTATGTAACCATGGTTCCCCGAGGGAACGAGACGCTGCGTCGAGTCGCTTTGGGAACGCCCTTGCGTGACCGCGTTCCCAAAGCGACTTGACGCAGCTCGAGTTCCTGAAGGGGAATCATCTGGATGTTCTTTCATGGGGATAAAATTAGAGGCCAAGGTAATATAACTGTCCTGAAGAAAATGTCTCATTAAAGAATGAAAATCTTGTATTCAAAAAATAAATAAATAAAACAAACATAAAACAGGAAATTATATTATAAAAAAGGCACCACTTATATGTCTAAAATAAATAAATAAAAAAACAAAATAACAAAAAACAGGAAGTGATATCATAGAAAGGTAAATGATTTCATAGAAAAGACCCTTACAGATAAATAAATAAATAAATAAATACATACATACATACAATAGGACATGAAAAGACCCTTAAAACAACAACAACTAAAACACATAAAACCCTTGCACACTGCACACCACCAGGACTGTCTTGGTCTGTAAGTATTTCAAATATTAGATAATCTCACCAACCAAAACTGATTTCTTGTCTATATACTTCCCTTTAAAGAGGCCATCTTGGTAACTATTTTCTATGTAGAAAACAGGCATTGTAGCTCCTATCTACTAGAAAGGATTAAACCTGTTTGTCAAGAAGATCTTTTAATAACATATTTCATTTTGACAATTACAAACTGACAATTACAAATTCTCCCATTTTTCTTTGAGTGGCCTTATAATGTCTTTTCTTTGTGTGATTTCTTTGTGTGTTTCTCCTTTGTGAAACAGACATGCAATCTTCAGAGACGGTCATGCTAACCCAGGGGTCCTGGATCCTTGACAGGTAATAACTCAAAGTATTGCTGCTGGAGCTCTGCAGGGGTTATTAGATAAGTCATCCTGCCCTTCTTGTACTCTGAGCTAGTGCACCTAAAAGATCATCATCCAGTGTCTTCTTCTAAGATGGAGACCCCATACTGCTCATGTGAATGTGACAACTTGGCTAATGTTGTTAAAGCTCAAGCTTGTGTTCTGTGCTGTCAGACAGATGTTTTCAGCACTGGATAATGATTTTATATGGGTTGTGTTTTGCACTGAGCAATGAACTTTTTCCTTTGATGCTGGCAGCGGCAGCTCCAGATTTTTACTAAGGCACTGCTTTGTAGTTCCGAGGGAGTGTTCAAACTATAAAGACATCCGTGCAAGTAATATGAACACGCTGCACAGACTGTCAGCTATGGTGCTAGGTTATTTTTTAACAATGTTTAATATTAACTTCACCCAAAAATAAAAAAATAGCTGCCATCTTCATCGGAACACATCTGGAGAAATTTAGCAGTACATCACTTACTCAACAATGGATCCTCTGCAGTGAATGGGAGCCGTCAGTCCAAGCAGAAGATAAAAACACAATAAATCACAAATAATCCATATGACTAGTTCATCAATTAAATGTTTTATGAAGCGAAAAACAGTTTTTAATAAATGTACTTCAAATCGCTGCTTCTGGCAAAATTATGAGTCCTTTATATTACCTATAATACCAGTCGCCACGGATGAATCAGGAGAGAAATATGCACAGATCAAGCACCATTTACAAGGAAAAACAGACCAAAACAGTTGTCTGTGGACTTTTTCACTGGAGGAAGCATTATTATGGATTATGGACTCATATTCTGACCTGAAGCGATGGTTTAAAGTTTAAAGAGCAATATCACACGAGTAGACGAGATATGGCTGTATATGTGCATGGCTATGATTCAGTCATAGGCACGAGTTGTAGGCATGACTTATATACCCATATAAACTAAAATGTAAAAAATCCTGTTTATTTCATGTTTCAAATTAATTCATGTTCTTTCCTAATTTCAATGTATGCATCTTGAAATGTTAAAAATATATGATTAAAATTGTGTCAGCAGTAAAACATTGTTGTTCATTATTCTAATAATGATTCTAATCTAATAATTAACTACTATTAACAAACTGAACTTTATTGTAAAATGTTGCCAATTTTATTCTTAATTTTCTTAAAAGATAATCGACAACACCAATGTTGAGTATGGTGCAATACACTGACACAGGACTTACATCACTTACACATCAACTTACTTCAACGCATAGTGAGAGCAGCTGAGAAGATCGTTGGTGCCTCTCTCCCCTCCCTTCAGGACATCTACAACACCCGTCTCACCCGCAAAGCCCTCTGCATTGCAGGTGATCCCACCCACCCGACACACAGCTTCTTCAGTCTGCTGCCATCAGGGAGGAGACTGCGGAGTCTCCAGGCCAGGACCAGCAGACTGAAGGACAGCTTCATCCATCAGGCTATCAGAAAGCTGAACTCCCTCCCGACCTTGCCCCCCCTCCCCTCTTTTGCCCCACGCACCACTGAACTCTGACCCTCTAACGGACTCTCCCACTCCCCCCTCCCAAATACACACACACACACTGTCACTTTAATCAGTCTGAATAAGCTCTTTTGCACTACAAATCATTTTTTTGCACTACAATCACTATATCTGCACTGTTGTTTACTTTACTGGTTTGCACTCTATCTACCATATGTCTTGTGCTTTATATATATATTTTTACATTTTACCTTATTTGTATATTTGTATAGTTGTATTTTGTATTTAATCTGTATTTATGTTATCTGTATGCACCCAAGGATCTGAGAGTAATGCAATTTCAATTCTCTGTGTGTATGTTCTGTACATGTGGAAGAATTGACAATAAAGCAGACTTGAACTTGAACTTGAACATACACATACACAAATGATCACAGCAGAAGACACCTGTCTGTCTTAGCATTTACTGTAAATGAACATTTCCCTGGGACTGCATGAATGCACCTGATGAAGCTACCATGCATCCTTAAATGTTCTTATCTATACAGTTCACTTAAGTTCACACAAGGTGCAAAGTGCATGCCATATAGTATGCCATTTTTTGCTCCAAAGGCCTGGCTTCACTATCCTTTGCAGAGCATGCGGTGCTCTGTAGTGACCCAATTAGTTATGCATCCGCACACGTTAGCAAATCAGATCCAAACATATTACTGTCAGGCTCATCAAAGCAATTCAGAGCTGTCCTAAGATCAGTGTCCAAGCTGTATGTAAACTGGACTTGCAGCAAACAGATCATCATAATCAGATCAACATGCTCTGTATGTCAGTGCATTTCCTCAC